TAGATCATTTCTGTATATATAAAATTTTTAAGCTTGACCAAATTGTGTGATTGAACAGACCTTAAAAGAGCATAACCTTGGGTAACCCATTATGGATTTGAAAGATTAATCAATTCCATTTAAGAATAATTTTCAAAACAAAGAATACGTCAGCCACATGACGCACTGGCCACTGGCGCTATTAGTTGGCCAACAAGAATCCGCGTAGATCGAGCCATCAACAAACACGTGTATGGTAAAGGTTGACACACCGATAAATAACATTATTCATAAATATATCTGTTACGCATTTTCACGTGCCAGCTCACCGAGATTATTTTACAAAAATATAGTTCCAAATAATGAATTTTCAAAGAATATATAATTAAAAAGTAGGAAAATTTTTGAGTTGACTTATATTATTTTATTTCTTGAATGTGTATTTGAAAATGAAATTGCAGAATAAAGAATTTTAAAATAATGTTTGTCAATCAGGAGCTTAACCCCGATCGACATTATTTGCTTTTATTTTCACACAAATTTAAAAAATATAATTAATTGAAAATTATTTATATTTTTGAAAATATAGGCATACTTTAAATAATTATTTAAATATAAATAATTTTTTTTCCAAGAATGCATTTTTTTTATTTGATGAGGAATATATAGTTGAAAAATAAGGAACATTTATTGATGTAATAGAAAATATTATTTTATTAAAAATGTGTGGTTGAAAATTAATAAAAAAATGAGAATGAAAAAATAGTATAGCTCAAAAGGGGCTAAGTATGAACATATCTATTCAATTCGTGTCGTTTATAGTATTGACAAGTTTGGTAGTAGTTCAATCCAATCCTACACAACATATAAACCTCGTCATACATGTGAGCTAAGACTAAGAAAATATCTAGTTTCTTTCCCTTTTCCTTAAAAATGAATCGATAAGTTTTATAAAAATGAAAGGTCGAGTTCTCACAACATCGTTTGTGGTTTCATCCCTAGCGCTTTTGCCATTGCATTTATTGGGGTTGGTGATGCTTCTTTGAAGATTGGATTGAATTGAATTATTATTATGATGTCTCGAATTACTTCACTAAACTCAGAAAGTGACATATGTCATTAATGAATCCTAATCACTTATTAGAGTTGAAATATGCTATTTATCCCCAATCTATGTGGCGTTTATGTGGCATTAAATGATATGTGAAATTAAATAAGTCATTTAATTTCACCTATTATTTAACTAATCATTTACATCCACATTGACTGGGGATGCATCCCTATTGGGGATGAATAGCATTTCTCGTTAGAGTTATCGACCTTGTTTGATTTTGTTTTTTCAACTTTATTTTTTAATTATACATTTTTTCAATAAAATAATTTTTTTATGTTAATTTATTACTTTTTTGTACATTAAAGTACACATTTAGAAAAATTTAATTTTCATAAAATCACTTATCAAAAAATTAAAATCAAACAGGTCATAAAGTTCAACATCTTTTCACCGAACATGTGAACCCTTATTTATACGAACACGTGTTCAATGACTAGGATCGTTGCACCTCTCTCTCTATCTCTCTCTCTCTCTGTCTGAAAACTGGGAAAAAAATGCTCTCTTGTTCTCTGTTATTCTCTGAGAGAGATGCAAGGAGTTTAGAAGGGCACTTTCTGAATCCTGGACTTATAACTCTTCTTCATAATTAAGTTATTGGACTTCGAATTACTTAAGGTACGATGAAATTTGACTTGTTTTTCGTTCTCTTTCATGTTTTCTTGCTCAATTCTGAATTGTAGTTAAAACTTTCTGTATTGGGAATTACATTATTTGGTTTTGGGTGGGGATGTGAAAAGACTAGAGTGCCCCCCATGGCTTCTGTGCCTTCTTGATATGGTGGATGAAAGGTGGGATCAATTTTAAGTTATGTTGAAAATAATCATATTTAATTACGTAGCTGATCTATAATTTATCCAGAATAAGGCTTAATTTAGACGGCTGATCTTGAATTCATTGAGAATAAGACTTAGGTTCTGTTTGGCAGAAATTAAAATTCAGATTTTAGTCTAAGTTAAAGTAACAACTAATTTTGACCCACAAATTTCATGGACTTTTATTTTTTATAAAATGTACTAATAATTTGATTTTAATCCCCTATGGATTGCTGATCTTAGTGTTTCTGGTTGTTGTCTGTTGTCTAGAGCAACTATATTTGATATTCTTTTTCTAATAACAATCCCTGCTTTTGGGACTGCCGGAAATTTACACGAAGAACTATTTTTTGTTTTTTGAGAGAAAAATCATAATGGACTAAACGTATAATTTCTAGTGAATTAAACATAGTAGCTGAAGTTTTGTTTATCTTGTCGTATCGAATTTTCAACACGATCAATATTAAGTTGGCTTGAAGTGGCTACTTGTGGAATTTTTTCGTTCATGACTCGCATAGCTATTTCATTTTCAGCCTGCATCTTTTCCCATTTTGGCTTTCTTGTACTTCGTCTTTAGTTATCGATGCATGCGAAAATGTTTCCGCATATTCCAAGTGTTTGATCTAAACTTGTTTGTGCAGTTTTTTTGAGTCGAAGATCAAAAGATCTTTTTTGAGTTACTAATTGAATAAAGGACTGCACTTTGTACGTTATCATGGGAAACAGTGAAGAGGAGAAGCCTTCTAAGCCCGAGAAATCATCCCTGCCTGCAATGGTAGGCAAAAAAAATATGCACAGTAATTTGAGCACATAGTTACAAAAATAATTTATGAGGTCATTTCTGAGTCAGTGTAAAATGCTCATCTCTTTGACTGACAGGACCAGCATAATATACATGCATTCCCTGATTGGGCGAAGATGCAGGTTATTCACTCTGTTTATATGCTTTCTTCCTATAGTCAAGAAGTGAAAATAGAGTTCTCGTTAACATTAAGGGCTTGTCGATGCTAATTATTGGCTAGTTTAATCTCCAGGCTTACTATGGTCCTCGACTTCCTGTACCACCATTTCTAAACTCGGCCGTTACTCCTGGTCATGTGCCTTCCTCCTATATGTGGGGACCACCACAGGTATTACCCTATCTTTTAAGGCAGCATCAGGGTTTCCGTTTGATTCTTCATCCTGGATAAATAAGCTGCCCAATTTCGAAATGTTTAAACATAGAAAATGCCCTTTTTTCCAGGCTATGATGCCACCTTATGGGCCTCCATACACGGCATTCTACGCACATGGCGGCATTTATGCACATCCTGGAGTTCCTCTAGTAAGTTCCACCTTTATCAAACTTCAATCACTTCCTTGATATTTTAACTCGGGCAGTATCATTCTTAAGAACAGGATCTCATTGATAGTCATGTTCTTGTATAGTGTGGTACTCCTTTGAGCGTGGACGCACAGGCCAAGTCATCTGAGAATACTGATGGAAGTATGGTGAAGAAGTTGAAAGAATTTAATGGGCTTGCAATGTCAATAGGTAATAGCAATGACAACTCTGACGGTGCTGAAGGTGGATCTAACCCTATATTTTCAAAAAGGTTTGTTGATATGTATTGACTTGGCAATTGCTTTCATGATTAACTGATTATCTGTCCTTTTAGTAGAAGAAAAGAAAACCTCGTGGTTCATGCTTATTTCGATGTTATTGACTGATTGTCGATTTTATTGCTTATGAACAGCGGGGAAACTGAGGATTCTAGTGATGGAAGTAATGGGATTACTGCAGGGGTAAGGATCTCTTTAATGTACTAAATGATCTGGTAAATGAGTTCTCATTTTGGTTTGTGTTTGTACTAGTTCAAAGATATTTAACTATACCATTATTCTTGTATCATTTTCTAGGTTGGTCAGAAAGGAAAGAAAAGAAGTCGGGAGGGAACTCCTAACAATGGTAAGCTTTCTTTCTTGTCCTAGAATTGTAATTAGAAAACTTTCATGCTAAATTATGATCATAACTTCCAACTCTTATTTGAAATTGTGTTGTGTGTTTTTTGTGGTGAACTTACCTTACAATTTTGGTGGTCTTTTAAAAGATCTCTTAGTTTTTTAGTCCTCACATCTAGATTTGATTTTTTATGCTACCAAATTTGACGACCTACTGAAGATCAGATAAATCTAAATGCGCTCATCGTACTGTTTTGTAACCTGTTATTTGAAGTTCTCTAAAAAACGGAGATGTTACTCTCATTCCCGCAGGCTGAATCTTCTTGTGCTAATTTAGTCTTATGTTTTAACCTTCTGATAGCTGTAAAGGGCAATGCTCATTCACGTAACAGTACAATGGATATGGTCATGCCTGAAAAGGCTACAGAAAACGTCTCCACAGCACTAGAACTCAAAGATCTTTCCAACACAAATGTGAAGTCTGTTGCAGCTAAATTGCCACAACCACTCAAGACAAATGAAGCCTGGTTGCATGTAAGTTCTGAATCTCTCTCATTACTCTGTTTCCATTATGTGCGCGATCATGAGATATTAGCCAAGCTGAAGGAGTTAATTTGCTGGCGATAATCGAAAACCTTTCTAGAGTTGATTTGGCTTTGTAATTTACATACTGTAATCGATCAGTTAGGGTGCCTGAATAAATAGTTTAAAAAATGGATATAGATTTTTAATCTCGGTTCTTGACACGCCTTTTCAATTTGCCTGTGCAGAATGAGCGGGATCTGAAGCGAGAGCGAAGGAAACAGTCTAATCGAGAATCTGCTAGAAGATCAAGGTTGAGGAAACAGGTATGATTAGTATCCGAGTAAATCCTGTCTGGCTAAGCTTAAAATATTCGCTTATAAATAAATAAGTTAGTTTTAAATAAATATAATACTTTTAATGGTCAAAGTTGAAAATAACCCGACTTTTTTTTACATTTTTCTATCGGCTTATTTTTCTCTAATCCATGGCCTACTCTTCCTTGCTCAGGCTGAGGCTGGGGAACTAGCTATAAAGGTTGAAGCGCTAACTAATGAGAAATTTATGCTCAAATCCGAGATTACTAAATTAATGGAAAACTCAGATAAACTGAAGATCGAGAACGCTACGTTAATGGTACTGATATTTCATTTTGTTCATCTCTTCTTACTTTCGTCTTATATTTAATAGCTTTTGCATGATAAAATGGCTTATAATTCCCAGGAGAAACTAAAAGATGGACAACTAGGCCAAACAGAGATAAGTCTACATAAAATTGATGATCCGAGGCTGAAACCAATTGGCACGGCAAATTTACTCGCAAGAGTTAATAACGCCGACGGGAAGAATGAAGACGATTCGTACGAGAGTAGAAGCTCGGGAACAAAGCTTCGTCAGCTTCTTGATACTAGCCCGAGGACTGATGCTGTGGCTGCCAGCTGATAGAATCTGTACACCAAATATTCCTTTCTCCTTGACTAGTTAATCATGTATTTTTGGCATAATTATGTCCAAAATTACATCTAACAGTAGTATTTGATCTTGTTCGCGAAGTACTTAAAAAAAAAAAACTTGAGTCTAATTTCACTCTGTCGTGATTTGAACAACCTCGACACACCTGAAATGCATTTTTAAGTTCAGCGTGTCGGGATGCTACAGATAGTTAATGTATATTGGAATCGACTTAGGAACTGTATTTAGTGTGTGGATTGTGTGCAAGAAGCTTATACTACTGTACTATGTTACATCCTTGGCTATCGAGAAGCCGGGTGTTTGTTGTACTTCTTTGACCATTTTAAGCGTGGAAGTATGTTAAGGTTAATTTTATTCGGGTTTTTCTCGGCTGTTATTCTCTGCAGCGTTTGTAATGTGCCTGATCAACAGAATGAATGTACATATTAGTACAATTTTCCCGGTTTTTGCTTGAATGGTTAGGACGAGATGGTAAAGGATGGAATGTCGTCTATCCAACCACACTTGCATTACAATAATTAGAAAATGCATATATAGCTGCATTCGTTATTGTGAGGGCGGACCCAGAATTTTCTAAAGTGCAGCTTAAGAGACATAGAGAGAATTGAAAACAAAATATTTCCTCCAACTCCAAAGAAGCAATTTGGAAGACCAAAGAAGAATAGGCCCGTACAAAGCAAGAGGGTGCATAGGTAAAGAAGAATAAAGTTCAGCTTAAGAGACAGAGAGAGAATTGAAAACAAAATATTCCCTCCAACTCCAAAGAAGCAATCTGGAAGACCAAAGAAGAATAGGCTCCGTACAAAGCAAGAGGGTGCATAGGTAAAGAAGAATAGGCTCTGCTGAGAAATATTGTATATATGGAAGGGTGAAAAATGTTAGAGATCAAAACGTGAGCTAGAGATGCTAGGAAGATCTAGAAGCTGCTGGAATGAAGAGAGTGCTAGCACTAGGCTGAAGGAAGTTAGGAATGATTCCTTTTGTTATGTAACAGAATTTGGTTATTGTCACATAAGCAAAGTTGTTGTAATTTTGTGTATTTATACCTTTGTAATTTTGTTCAGCAAATATCAATAAGAAATACATATATAACAGACGGATTTTCTCTGCTCATTCAATCAAATCTTGGTTACATTTCTTAATCAAATTGTTTTATGGTATCAGAGCAATGACTGATAATGAAGGAGCTAGTGTTACAAATCAAAACCAAATTCCACTTCAAAACTCAAATCCTATTCAAAACACTCATGATCCGTCTCTCCCTAATAGCCCCTATTTCATTGGGACAAACGAAAATTCTGGAGCTCTTCTGATCACTCAATTGCTTGATTCTAGCAACTATCACTCCTGGGCAAGATCAATGAAGAGGGCACTTAGAATAAAAAACAAATTTGGCTTCATTGATGGAAGCATCTGTGAGCCTACTGAGGTTGATAACCCGCTGATGGAGCATGGGCTTCGATGTAATGACATAGTCATTACTTGGCTACAAAACACCATGACAGTTGACATCAAGGCTAGCACACTCTATGCGGAGACAGCACACCAACTTTGGTTGGAATTGGAGCAGCGCCTGGCTTAGCAAAATGCTCCCAGAATTTTTGAAGTTAAGCAGGGAATAACAACATTGATGCAGGGGCAGGACTCTGTTAGCACATACTTTTCAAAGCTCAAGACATTACTTGATGAACTCATGAACTATGAGTCAATTCCTAATTGCACTTGTGGAGGATTGCAGACCGTGATCGGCAACCAGGAAAGGGATTGGGTGATGAAGTTCCTTATGGGGCTGAATGATTCTTACAAAGACATAAAGGCTCAGATTCTACTGATAAAACCTTTTCCCAAACTAAATGAGGTCTATTCCATCATACAGCAGGAGGAGAAAAGGAGAGACATTACTGTTGATGTGCCCATCTTTGATGGAATGGCAATGATGGCAAGAAGGAATAACCTGAGGGAAACATAGTGAAAGGATCTTGGGCCTCAAAGAAAATACTTCTGCACTTTTTGCAAAATCTCTGGCCATTCACTTGAGAGATGTTTTAAGGCCAACAAGGACAAACCAATGTGCACACATTGCCAGATGCCAGGCCACACCATCAACAATTGTTTCAAGATTCATGGCTATCCTCCAGGCCACAAACTCTATGGAAAGACCAAAGCAAATGTTGCTATTACTGATCAAAACACAGACGCTGCAAGGACTACACATGAGCAAGTTTGTGATGGGAATCAAGTTGCTTTAACCTAAGAGCAGTACACTCAACTGATGGCCTTACTCAAACCACAAATCAATCACCCACACTCCCTTTCTGCCAGCCATGCTTCGAATGTTTCTTCCACAAAAAATACTGATGCACTCAAAATGTCTGGTAATTGTGTATGCCTATCTGCTCACAATGATGAAAATAGGATGACTTCATCCATTCCTTGGATCATAGATACCGGAGCAACTGACCATATGGTCTGCTCCCTCTCATTCCTTACAAAAATAAAATCAGAGGTTTCACATCCCATTAGACTACCTAATGGAGATGCCACTACTGCCACTCACATAGGAGATGTTAGGATCACAGAGAATTTACATCTTCATGATGCACTTTTTGTTCCATCTTTTTCATTTAACCTAATATCTACTAGGAAGCTTGCTAAAAAATTGTTGCCTCATTTTTTCATCTGATATGTGTTTTATGCAGGACCTTTCAACTTGGAGGACGATTGGTCTGGGTGAAGTAAGGTAGGGCTTATATCATTTAGTGCAAAATAAGATCGCCCCTAATAGCTTGATTCAGAAATTACCAGAACTCGCCAACAAAATCAGTATGTCTGCTGCAACTAATCATGAAGGCTATGACCTATGGCACTTCAGATTGGGTCATCCTTCTGATCCTAGGTTACATTTGACCAACCTACATCAAAGTTCCAATTTCAAACATACTACAGAACCCTGTCCTATCTGTCCCTTAGCTAAACTTCATAGGAAACCCTTCAATACTAGCCATCACAGGTCAGAGAATTGCTTCGATTTAATTTACTGTGACCTGTGGGGACCTTGTTGCTTTGACTTAGTTCATTGTGATCTATGGTGACTGTGTACTGATGTTTCTTATGAAGGATCAAGATACTTTCTCACTATTGTAGATGATTATAGTCGATACACTTGGGTCTATTTACTGAAAATGAAATCTAATGCTTCGACTGCTTTACAAAGTTTTTATACTATGATTAAAACACAATTTTGTTCTAAGGTTAAAATAATTAGGATTGATAATGGAGGAGAGTTTAACTTAAGACAAATTTATTGGAATAATACACCAAACTTCATGCGTTGAGACTCCTCAGCAAAACGCCATGGTTGAGAGAAAGCATCAACATATATTGAATGTAGCAAGAGTGCTAAAATTCCAAAGTCGATTGCCCATAAAGTATTGGGGTGACTTTATTCTAACTGCCGTTTTCTTGATAAACAGAACTCCTATGCCTATCCTGGATAACAAGACTCCATTTGAAATTCTTTTCAAAAACAAACATGCCTATGACAACCTTAGAGTCTTAGAATGTTTGGCCTTTACCACCACACTCACACAAAATAGGCACAAATTTGACTCAAGCGGAAGGAAGTGTGTCTTTTTGGGATATCCTTTTGGAACTAAAGGATACAAATTACTTGATTTTGAGAACAATAAGGTTTTTATATCAAGAAATATCAAATTCTATGAGAACAATTTCCCTTTCAAAAATTGCGAAAATCAGGACTATGCTGATAATTCAAATATTAATCATGAGGCACCTACTCCTACTCAACTATCCTATTCCTTCAGAAATTACAGAGATCAAAGCTATGTTGATGGTTCTAAGCTTAATCAAAAGTTTCCTACTCCTACTCAACTATCCTATCCAGAACCTATCAATGAAAACTTAGATTGTCCTCTTCCTGTTAACCCTCAATTGCCAGTAGAATCTAATCCAGAAACTGATCAAAACATATAAGCCTCAGAAGGTGATCAGCTTAGTCTTGAACCTGCAGCTCAACCTGAATTCCTCAATGACTCATATGTTCCTCGAAGGTCTGAGAGAAGCATGAAAACACCTACTTATTTGCAGGATTTTATTTGCCAACAAGCTACCTTACTCACCCACTTTCAAACGTCTGAAAAAAAAAAGAAAGGGACTATGACTTCAGGTATTCCTTTCCCTCTATGTGCAACAGTCTCATATCACAAATTATCTAAACATCATAAAGTTTTTGCATAATCCATTCTTATGCATTCTGAACCAAAAACTTATCAAGAAGCCGTCAAAGTTCCTAAGTGGTGTAAGGCTATGAAGGATGAGATATGTGCTATTGAGTTAAATAAAACCTGGACCGTGACTGCCTTGCCATCTGGGAAAGTTCCTATAGGATGCAGGTGGGTTTACAAAATCAAATTTAATGCAGATGGAACAATTAAAAGGCATAAAGCAAGGCTTATAGCAAAGGGATATACTCAGTTAGAGAGAGTTGATTATCACGAGACTTTTTCTCTTGTGGCGAAATTGGTGATGGTAAGAACATTAATAGCTGTAGCAGCTGCAAGAGGATAGTATTTACATCAATTTGATGTAAATAATGTATGTTTACATGGGGATCTAGATGAGGAAGTGTACATGGATATGCCTCCTAACCATCCAAATTCCAAGTAAATAATGCCTTTTTACATGGAAACTTAGAAGAGGAGGTGTATATGGAGATTTCCCCTGGATACTCTGCTGATCAGACATCAAAATCTCACAGCAATGAAGCGTTAAAGGTCTGTAAGCTCAACAAAAGTTTGTATGGATTGAAGCAAGTGTCTCGCCAATGGTACTCCAAGTTATCATTTTTCATCATTGAACAAGGTTTCCAACAATCTAAGGCAGATTATAGTTTGTTCACCAGAAGCACAGATGACTCGTTCACTGCCATACTAGTTTATGTTGATGACATA